GGGGAGGAGCAGCGCGAGGGGAGGAGCAGCGCGAGGGGAGGAGCAGCATGGGGGAGGAACAGCACGAGGGGAAGAGCACTATGAGGGGAGGAGCAGCACGAGGGACATCGTTTCAACCTCCCACTTAACAACAAGGACAAGAAGAATGTGCGCTTCACACCAGAGCCTTTGTCAACCTGGCAACTGTATAGTCTGAAAGCCTTGAGTCTCTCGTTACTTATCACTGTGCAACGGCCGAGCAGACCCCACCTTCACCGCCACCTTCACCGACACCCCAAAGGCACCAGCGTCACATTTCTCCTCGTTGCTGTCAAAGGACACACCCTGTCACCTGTGTAGCCTTTGTGCCAGAATGGATGACAGATAGAAAACTGGAAAACTTAGGATGAACTGCCCAGCCCCCTCAAAGCTAAAGCAGAGGCGGGTCCTGCACTGAAAGCTCAAGAGACCGGCAGTGAGGTCCAGCGCAGTGCCAGTGAGCCAGCATCTCATCCTGCAGAGTTCATAATACTACACTCATGTGCATCTACCCGTTATTACACCGTTATTGCAGTTGTGGAGAGCATTCTGACTGTGAGAAGACACATGCGGGAATGAGAACAGGTGAAATGTTAGAATGACTGCAAGTTACTGACGTATAGGTTAGCCAGATGTGAGTGTTTGGAATTATATCCAGCCACCAAACCTCCATGACCCACATGGTGGGAGGAGAGAACCAACTCCCACAGATTGTCCTCTGACCTCCACAGGAATACTATGGAACACATACACGGATGCTCGTACACACACGGACACAGTAAGTGTAATAAAAAATGTAAAGACAGGAGAAATATAAGAAAAGACTGTAGCAATTAGGAAAGCACACTGAGAAGTACATCAGTGTTGATTGGATCTTTGAAACTTTCTATGGACTATACCTGTTTAAAATGAGACACTCATTTAGGAAGAGCTCCCCTGGAGGCCACAGTTCTGCTCTGTGGTTGTCTGGGGCATCTGTTGGTGGGTGGTGCTCCCCGGGGAGAATGTTGGTGCTGACTTAGACAATTCTATCTTAGGAGGGAGCACATGGATATACAAGAAATTTAAGAGATTATTTTCTGGCCATGTGATAACTCTGAAAATCCACAGAATAACACACGATACGTGCATTTGAAACACCTTGACCCACTTCAAGGGCATTTATCCTAAACTCTTTTCAAAGAACCAGCAATGGCCAAGGTGCTTTTACCATGTTCCAATTTGGCTCAGTAGTGTTTTAGGTAACAACTATGGATGTTCGAGGATGTGGTCTTTCCAGGTCCTGATGGTGACATCCCTAGACAGGACAACTCTATGTGGAGAGCTGGGCATAATAACTATGCTACGGGCGTCATGGTGGAGATCTCTGTGACACTGGCTGGCACCTAACACCCACACTAGTGTAAACTGAGGAATGGTTTTAGATATTTTTACTGTTGCCTGGCTAGCTCAGTCGCTAGAGTGTGGGACTCTGAATCCCAGGGTCATGGGTTCGAGCCCCACGTTGGGTGCCAGATGTTGCTTGCGATCTCAACCAAGACCCTTGGAGGTGGGTATAAGAAAGCTCAGCGTCAACAACACAGACTCTGAGAGTCAAGCAAGTGGCAAAAGCAGACTTGCTTATTGTAGGAACTGAGCAAACCTTTATAGCCCCTCCCCCCAGCAACTCATTGGCTCTCAAGTAGCCAGATGTGGTGCTGTCTCTTTCTCATTGGTTCATTCCATTGCCTGATCCAACATCAGTGGTCTCTAGTCATGTCAGCAGATTCTAGGTTGGCTCAAGAGGAAGTATCAGTGGCACATGTGGCAGCATTGCAGCTGAGCCTGCATGGCTAAGTTCCCCCTACACTTTACTTTTAGCTATTGACAGCAGTAGCTGCAGCACTTTCTAAATGTGTGTGTTTACTGGTAGGCCTGGAGCTCTGAGGCTGTTAGTGCCCCTTTTCTTTGTAAAAGGAAGCAGTCTAGCAGAAGGAAGGGTGTGAAGCTCTCTGTCCATGGTCCTGACACTCATTAAGGCTTACAAAAGCTGTCAGGGGCAGCCTTGCTTATACACTGAAGGCCTAAAATCAGCAATAGTCCTAAGTCAGCCTGCTAAGACAAAGTCTTGGGTCTCTGTGGAAAAACACTGAAACAGATAGCTATAAGATATTGTGAACAGGCAGCTTTGGTGGAAATTTACCAGCCTGGATAAGAACAAGTAGTCATAGGTCCTGTGGATAGTCATAGACCTTGGGTAGCCTTGGTGGATAGTACCAACTTAGATAAGGACAAGTGAATCATAGACGGAGTCATAATGACCTGTCCCCTGAACCTTCACCCAGCTGACACTCTGTTCTGGAAGATATTTGTACTCCCCCTGAACACCTACGCTCCTGTGTCATCCCCTTCCCCACATCCTGCCTTTTTGTGTATATAACCTGCGTGAAAAAGTAAAAATTACAGTTTGATCAGCCTATAGACAAGCTGTCATTCTGTTTCCCCATCCCCTCTTTCTGGTGACCTCCCCGGACCCCTGTTTAATGCCCTGCTGGACGGGGCAAAAAGACGGCTGCCTTGAGCAACCCCCATCTCATGCACCCCCTCCCTCTCATCAGCAGTTTTTCTAGAACTTCTGCTGATTTTGTGCCTTTCTGTCTAGTTCACAGTCCTTCACTTGTCCCACATTACCTCATGACATGCTCGTGTTCATTGGGTGTGGCTGCATCTTAGAGAAGGTGCTGGAATGAAACCAAAGCCCCAGTGCTAACCTGCAGTGGAACACCGCCTTTTGCCTGCTCCTTAAGGCGATCGATGTGTGTTGGGTCTGCACCTAAAGGCTAAAGACTGTGCTGTCCAGTGTATTCCTTTGGATTTAGTTTCCACGGCATTTGGATTCTGAAAGTGCAAACAGACTCCCCCCCACCTCCCGCCCAGTGTCTCAGCAGCTTGGTGCAACAACAGCAGACCATTGCCCTCTTAGATCCTTTAAAGTTTTGGCAAGGGTCTATCATGTTGCTGTATCCTAAGTGACCTTCCCAGCTCCCATGAGGTCTTACACTGGCCAGAGAAAATGAGAGAGATAAGACAGTTTCATGTTACACTGAATGATGGCTGCAGACAGTCCCCGTGTGTATAAACAGTGCTAGCACTTCCCTTGGGGTTGGCCTTCTTACTTGGTCCTATCCCAGAAAAGCATGTTTGAAATGTTGGGATAACACTTTCTTACCTTCCAGGAGTGATCAAAGTCCATTTGCACACACTGCCAAGACGCTGTGTTCTACTGCCAGTGAACAGCATGGGCGATTTAAAAAGTTGTGTATCTTTGCTCTATTGTGCCTTAAAATCAAAGCATGCTTGTAATTTTTTTTATTAGATTTTTCAGATATTTACATTTTTCCCTTGCTGATTAACATAGCTAACATTTGCAATTGCTCTTAATTACAATGGCCTCTCACTTGCCAGGCAGAGGTGACATAGACCTTTCATCCCAGCAAATGGGAGGCAGAGGCAGGTAGATGTCTGTGAGTTCAAGGCCAACCTGGTCTGTACAACTTGAGTTCAAGGACAACTAGGGCTACACAAGAAACCTGATCTCTAAAAATAAAACAAAATGAAACAACAGTTGGTTCTGACAGTCTTCTTTAAAAGCCTAATGATAGCCACGTGGAATCCACATGGCTAACCCCAGTGCAACAAAAGTTTTGGCTTAAGCCTATATACATGAGTTAAATATATTAAGCACATTATATGTTTATAATGGCAAGCTGTATGCATTTGAAAACATGGGGTTGATCAGTAACAATCAATACATTTATACATATTTATTTGATATTTTCTCTATGCCTGATAGAATACCAGATGCTAGCTGTCCTTATTCTTTGAGGTAGAAGACTATCTCAAGAAAATGCCCAATGTAGATGTAGTTTCAGCTTCTTAAACTGCTCATGGCCCACACAGGGTCTCATAACTGAATGTGGAGGTCATGAAGAATTTGGCAACAGTAAAAGGTCTCAACACTCAATTTGAAAGCAAATGTCTAATGAACCAAGTGTTTGTGGCAGCTCTTACCCTTGCTACATCCCGTGGCTTCTCTGCAGCCCTGGATCTGGACATGCAGCACGGGCTGGGCACTGCGCCTTGGCACTCAAAGCAGCACTGAGGAGTGTGGCCCAAAACTCTCAGTACAGTATTTATCAAGAACGGTGCTGTTTCTACTGTGTTTACAAACTCCCGCAGAAGCAGAATCATTTAATTACGGAAAACAATGCTTCCAGGATGTTTAATATTTTTCTTACCGCCGTTCCGCAGTGTGTGAACATCAAACCAATATATTGCTGGTTGTTTTCTGTAGCAATGTTTGATTTTCTAAAAATGTTGTCTGAGGGCATACATGCTGTCCCAGCAAGTGTTTGCTGCAAAGCTGGAAGATCTGGGCTTGATCCCTAGGAATCATGGTTCAGGTGGAGAACTGTCTCCTGTAGGTTGTCCTCTGATCTCCAAGTACTTACTCTGTTTCTACTAAATAAAATGCAATTTTAAAAATTAAAAAAAAATCCAATTTTAAAAATTAGAAAAATGCTATTTCAGGGTAAATATGGTGGTGCAAGTCTGTAACTCAAGCACTTGGGGGGTGTATGGAAACATGAGTATCAAGAGCTTAGGGCTACCCTTGGCTACATAAGAAGTTCAAAGCTAGCCTGGGTTACATAAGACCTTGTCTCAAAAACAAAAAGTAAAGCAAACCAAAAACCGTAACAATTGCTGTTTGAGTTGCTGGCCTGAGTTTCATTTTTTAAAAAGTCATTAAACTTTGGCTTGGGAGCAGGATAGACTTTCCAGCCATTTCTGAAACAACTCTAAGCAAACATCTACCATGTTGCACCACATCTTTATGCAAAGTAGCATCGTGAACATTGATGATTATACCAATAAAACCAAAACATCGATCAGCTGAAAAACGCTGCGAATGTCACACATCCTGCTGTGTCAGTTACTCAGGGTTTAATTCTTCAAATAAAAACAAATAAGCAGTCCAATTCTAGTACAAAAATCTGCTTTCAGCTTTAGTAAATATATCCAAATCAAAGAATTGTTTTAAAGCAAAATTTCTTTATGATTTATCAGCAGATGTTTGGTTTATATCTACTTTCATTTATCTGTATACCTTTAGCTTTATAAAAAAAAAAAACCAAACAAACAAAAAAACAAAAAACAAAACAAAAACCTGTACTGGGGAAGATGGAGTTAAATAGTCTCTTTCCAATGCTTTCCTGACACAGTCCCTTCTGCATTCAACTAAAGCTTGACACAAGTTACTCAGGAAAAGGAAGTCTGAAGATTTTTTATTATTGTGAGTGCAGATTTTCTTGTGTTATATGTTGTATTTGGTTTGTGTCCCTCAAAAAGAAGTTTGGAGCGTCTTGCCCCAGTATCTGTGATTATGGTTATTATTCTATTTGGAAATGGTTTCATTAGAGGTCTTACTGAGGTAGGCACTCCTTAGAGTGTGTTCTAACTGAATGTGCCTGCCATCCTTAGAAGAGACACAGGCAGGTATGTGGGAAGAAGAACTTGTGTATTGCAGGATCAGGTGGGGATCACTTGGGGGTGTTAGTTACCCCCAGAGACTGCCAGAGGCAAGGAAGCATTCTCTCCCAGATTTCTGAGGGAGCATAGTCTGCAGACACCCTCGTTTCAGACTTCTGGGTTCCAGAAACTCAGGAAGGTATTTCTCTCATTTTAAACAACTTACTTTGCGATTCTTTGCCGCGGTAGCCCTAGGAAACCAATGAGATATATCACAAATGAACCTGGAAAACAAGACTCCAAATGTAAAGTGAATTTCTTGTCATTAAAGTTGGACACAATCAGATTTGTAGTTATCTGTTCCTGGAAAGCTGTGTGGAGGCAGCCATCCAAGGCAAGGCCGGAAGGGGCGGGGAGAAGTGGAACTCAAGGCTCATTCCTGCTGTGGGGTTTCTGGTCCTCCCACCAAGGGTGCAGGTCCCCGCCCCTAAGTGCAGCCCTCACTTACCAGCGGTTTGCTGTCTATGACACAGCAACGTCCTGAATTATATAGGGGATAGCTGGGATAATTTCTGATAGGCAGGATCTGGGGTAGGGAAGACACAGGTATCTCTCACTCCCTGGAACTAGACAGAACTGAGAACTGGAATCTTGAGAGCGGTCTGAAGATTTAATCTGAGTTAGTTGATTTGTCTGGAAATAAAACCCATGAGGCCTTTATTGCTCTGTGTTGTCAGTTATTTTCCATCGGAAACGGAGAGTTCCTGACTTTTATAGGAATTATCTTGGCAGCGTTTAGTTTTCAGTGAGATTGCCATCGTTTACAACGTGTCCGACAGTCCTTGGCTTCTTTCTCAGTGATTCTGCTGCAGATTCTGTAAACCGGTTAAGTCGAGATGCTCCTGAGGTCATTAGGAAACAGGAAAACTAGTTTCTCTTTTAATATTTCAGGTTTTAGCTCCAGTTACTCATGAAGGAGCCATGAAGCTGCAAAGGAAGACAG